CCTTTCCCAAGTGCCTTGGTAGGCTACATTTGTGACATCCTTGACACTGTTAAAATTGAATGTGGGTAAGAAGAAAGCTCTTATTGGTCTTAACCATCCAGAAGAAAAGTATAAAAATGAAATATAAGAAATAAAACCATGCTGTTATGTTGAGCTATAGGGGACTCAGGTCAACAATTTCTGACATTTCCAGTGAAGCGGAAGACCCAATACTATTATGGGATACTGGACTCTTTTAGAATATTTTGCTGAGTTTACACACCTATAATATTCAAATAATGAAACTTAACAAAAAAAGGGGATACAGATGAATGTCCATTTTGTATCTGTGTATTCAAAGTGGTTGGGATAGATATATAGTTACATTCTGTTAATGAATAGAATGATTTGTTCTAATGGTGTTTGTAAATAGGATATCATGTACGCATCTTGTACAGCAATTAACCACTAAGAAGAATGGATGCAGTGTGTTAGTTATTGAAACTGTCCTACCGATTTGATTTGAAACTGTCTCATTGCTATTTGTTTATCAATAAAACTATGGCAAAAAAAAAAAAAGGCAGCTCTTAGATTAGGCATTTAGATTTAGGCAAGTCTCAGATTTGCTCCTGCTGTTTAGCAATAGTGAGATGGGCCAGTGAGAAAAAAGGATTGGCCCTGGGTTGAGAAACAGAGTTGTTGCCTGAGTTGCCCAGCATAGACACAAGTCTTGAGGGAGAGCTGTCCCCAGCCGCACTCATGGGTGCTATTCCTTTGCAAGCCCAGCCCAGTGGCCATGATAACAGTGCACCTGTGTAGCAGGGTGCAGGTGAATTCATTCCATGGTGCAGCCTGCACACCTCTGCCAGGTACTGTCCTGGGCCTTGCTCATACACACCATCACTGGTCTGTTGAAGCACTGACTGCTGCTTGAGCTCCATTCGCATTCACTCACTTCCCATGGATACTGTTAATCTGCAGTCAGGGAGAAGAACCTGCAAACCATCCACCCCTTGTACTTTCTTCCTCCACCTCTGTTCAGTGTGTCAGGGAGCCTGGCACCACTTTCTACCTCCTGGCCTAACTCCAATCTGAATGCCCGGTATCCCCTCCTCCATGTGCCTACCCTGTCCTCACCCCTACAGCGCACACAGCCTGCTACTGCCTCTTACCTTGTACCCCTACCTTACATAACCTTTTCAAGGTTTAAGATGGTGCCTTCTCCCTTATAATCCACATTCTCCTTCAGGCATGGTGCGTATCCAATAAATATTTGTTGAATTAATCATTTAATTCATTGTGGCCATTGAATATGGTCTCTATGTACTCATTTGCCCTTCGCATAATCTTTGTAAGACCCACAAGACAGCCATTAAATAGAAAGCGGGAAATTGTGACATTTGTCATCTTGATCACCCTAATTGTAGTGAGAATTAACACCCCCATGTATTTTCTTATGAAAATCACCTCTCCACAGTATGCATTTTAATAGGAATGGAACCCCCTTGGCAAAATTAAATTGGAACTATTGAGAAATATTAGGTGGTTCTTTGTTGAAATCACTTCTGGAGAATTACCAGGGCTGTACTGTCCTTACTACAAATTAAAAGGTATTTAAAAACAAGGAGCAGAAGGAACAGATTTACAACTATTAAAAGCAGATACACATGTGGATAAAGGAAAGCAGTGGGCAAACATGAAAGAATGGAGTTTGGGTGGTGGGACTAAGGGCATAATTTCCTCTTGTTATTATTTAAAATAATCTTTAGTACTTTATAACTTACTTTTGATGGAAAAAGGATTAGAAAAAAATGAACTTCATGCAGGAAGCATATATCCAGGTTTTTTTGTTTTTATTGGTGTTGTTATTATTTTGGGGTTTTTTGTTGTTTTGTTTTTCACAAGCATGAATCCAAGTATGTCAAAGATACTCCTTGTGAGAATAAAGAACTTGCCAGTGTTGTTGTGTTGTGCAGAATTGTTTTTAATCCATAGATATTTTCAGCAAGATGTTCATTTATTCATCAAGAAATAAATATTAAATATGGACCCTATGTCAGACATTCTACTAGATATTTGTTTCCTCTGTATTAATTCAGTCATGACAAATTTTTCATAGGCATTATTGCCTCCCAAGGCTGTTTCCTGTACATTATTCCATCTACTATTTCTCCTAACTCTATAAAGTAGTCAGTATGTATGTATTACTCATGGAAACACTAGCTGTTGTTACAAATATGCTCCAAAAAGTTAGTGGCATGTTCTTTGTCATTTATTCTTCATCCAGAGCTGAAGGCTGTAGGTCATGGGATGGCTGTGTTCCACACAGTTATTTCAGGATGCAGCCTAAAGGCAAGGCCCTTCAATGAGTAAGCAGAGGGTACACACACTCATGTTCTCTTGGCAGGACTCGAAGCAGTTACCCTCAAGGGAAGTTAGGAATGTCAGGCTAGCCTTGCAGAGAACAATGGACTTGGGTGGCCAACTAGCAGGCCCTGCCAAGGCAGATATACGTAAATTAGCATTGTAAGATGCGATCACCAAGGCTCAACTGGGTGGACTTGAGTGAAATCACCTAGTTAAGCTTGAACAGGCAGAACAAGGGGCTTCTGGATGGCAGGTGGGCGTGTCTTCCATCACTTCAGCAGCGAGACACTAGCTTGGTAAAAACACTGCCTGTGAACGTGTGCTGCCTGTGTGGACTTCAGCCTGCAACAGCATAGGGTCTGTAGTGCTGGAGGAAATGCTGAATGTTACCTTGTAAACATTTTAATGTAGACAGTGTGTCTGGCTTTCTCCCAGCTCCAGAATGGGACTGAGAACAGACTAATAAAACCCATACCCCATGGAATGCCCACAGGCATGAATGGAGCCAGGGAGCTCCCTTGCATTTTCCATTGCTCCCTGTTCACTGGATTGTGAACTGAATGTGTAGAGCAACTTGGATTTTGGCGGACATGGGCCTAGGTAGCAGATCAGGACAGATAAAACCCTGGTGCACCATTCTGGAGTGCACTGCAGACAGCAACAGCTAACAAAAAGATGAGAAACTGTGATGAGGGATGGTGAGGCCTAATTCAGAGAAGCTTCTAGGAAAGTTTCTTTGAGGAGAGGAGATTTTAAGCTACATCCCAGCGGGTGAGAAGAAGCAAGGGGGAGAATCTTCCAGAAAAACATGGAGGACACAGTGATTTGGCGGAAAGAAGAACACTGAGCCTCAGGTTCTGAAGGCATCACTGATGGCTGGAGATATTGAAAGAGCAGATGTGCTTAAAATGAAAATAGCTCGAGTCAGGCATGGTGGCGTGTGCCTGTAATCCCAGCACTAGGGAGAAGAAATCAGGAGGATCAGTACGAGTCTGGGCTGTGTAGTGAGACCCTGAAAAAAAAAAAAAAAAAAATAGCTGAAGTGTTTTCATTAACTTTCCAACCACCTCTGAGGTGGGTTACTGTTATCTTTCTCATTCTACAGGAAATGAAATAGAAGCATAAAGAAGTTACCTGATTAAATAACTACCCTGCCACACAGGTAGTAAACAGGAGGGCCATACTTAAACCCAAAGCATCTAATCGAGCTGTACTCTACACCACTGCACAGCATTTTCTCACTGCTTGAGCAAGACTGAAAGCGTCCCTCTTTTCTTAGGGAAGAAGGCATCTCTTCCCTGGGGAAGAGGTACCTTATTTGAGATCACTGGATCCCTCCTCTTGCAAGGGGTCTATGGGTAGAGTCCTATGGAACTAATTAGTGTGGATCAAAACATTCATGTATACACATATGTATGTATCTTTATTTTAATCAAGTTCAAAAGTTTATATTATTTTTCTATTATGAAGATACAAAACCTCAATAAGCTGCATGACCTTGTCTCTAGAATTTTATCATATAAGATTGCTGAAGATATCTTGAAATATCATTTGTACTAATCACTGTTTTCAAATGATGATAGTTACTATTCATCCTAATAAATCCTAGTATTCAATTCATTAATAAACATATTCACATATATTCTATTACAATTTTTAACTGCTTAGATGTTTTTCAGCATTTTTTATTTCATAAATGTTTGTGTTTTCCTTTATGTATTTAAAAACATTCTCTTGGGCTGGGGAGATAGATCAGCAGCATAAGTGCCTGCCTGGCAAACGCAAGGTCCCAAGGTCAATCCCCAGTACCTCAAAAATAAATAAATAAGTAAATTAAAAGTTAAAAGCATTCTCTGTGTGAATGTGAGTGTGTGTGTGTGTGTGTGTGTGTGTGTGTGTGTGGTCCTGTCGATTGAACTCAAGACTCTTTGCTTGCCAAGCAGGCACTTATTCTACTGAGCAATCTCCCCGGCAATAAAAACATTGTTTTTCAGTACCAGAGATTGAACTCAAGACCCTTTGCTTACCAGGCAGGCGCTTATTCTACTGAGCTATCTCTCTGGCCCTATACATTCTTGAAAGTGGATCTATTGGCATCTCTAGACAGCAAAGAAGATCTTGGCACACACAAAGTTAGGACCTCTCCCTTTAATCCTGTCTGTTCAAGGTTTTTCCCTCCTTCCCCTTGATATCAGATATCTGTAATAGTCCATGTGGATTATCTGTATGTTTTTATTTGTTCCACTGTTTTTAGTTATTCACTCTAAACTTCTTTCACAAGATGGCCATTTCTTATAACACTAAGGTCATCTGAATTCTCTGACATTTCTAAAATTTTGTAAGAGCTGATCATTTTTTATTCAAGGGACTATGTCATGCTCCATGCTGTCCTTCTACTTGCTTTGCATTTCGTTTATAGGCTTCTTACTCTTTAAAAATAGTGTTCCAGGTTTCTTCTGCATCACCTGCGCCCCTGGACCCCCATGGATGCCAACAGTGATAGTCCCAGATGTCCAAAGAACTTCCCATGTTCATGGCCTGGGGGCACCACAAAGTCAGCATATCAAAGTAGAACTCATTGCCTCAACTGCCAAACCTCTTTTTTCCAAAGCTGTGCTTTATTACTGGCTTTACTCTTTCCCTGGTCTCTCCAGATTCCCCTGAATTCCATCTTCTGTCTCACCTCTGTCCTGTTGAACGTAGGCCCCTGTGGTTTCCACACTGAAGAAATGGACTGGAACTGGCTCACTTTCCAGGTCATGTGTAGTACTTGGACAGGAGTAAAATTCTAAGTTTAAGTTTTATGAGTATAATGTCAGCTTGCGCGTTGTTCTGACATTTTCACTGTCTTTCCCTGAGCAACAGCCTCCACCAGGTGTGTAATGGCTGAATTATAAATTCGAATTGTAGTGGTTTTTCTCTCTCAGTATGGAACATATTTTAAAACACAGCAACATCAAACTTTCCTTTGCTAGCTCAGGGTTTCTAACCTTTCCTTGATTGGGTGAGGGCACATGGGGCAAATGAGGCAGGAAAATTCTAACTAAACCAAAACTGTCACTGGCTGGCCCTCAGCTTGGATGGGTTCTTCAGACTCCCCCAAAAGCCCCCATTGCTGGAGGTAGCCTATTGGTGGCAGATGAACATATGTCCTTCTCCACGTTTGTATGTTCTCTGACTCACACACAGTATTCTAGCAGTAGATCCAGCTTTGGGCTTGAGAAATACTATAAGAGACTCCACTAATACTATTAGAGTCTCCACACCAACTCACTCATGAAGGAGGACCTGTAAATGGCCCACAGCACATGTCCATATGACAAACCTGAGAGTAGACTGTCTCCAGCTTCAGAGCTCAGAGTAGATCACTGAGTCTGCCACTAAAGAGGTCAAGCTGGGCTGTAGCTCTTCAGGTTTCTCCTCTTGCCCTCAGGCACTCAGGGACAGGTCACCTACCATGAGTGTTCCCTGGCCTCCTCTTAGCAGACTTTCAGCAGGAACAGTGCCTTCTTTTTCTCTATCTCCATCAAAAGACAGGCAGCTGCAGGGGTGAAGAAATCCTGTCCAGCTTTTGTTTAGGAAAACCTGAAAATTTTTCTTTGAAACATAACACTTTGTATGAACTTACATTAATTGTGCCACTCACTGAATTCTGATATATGAAACACAGCCAATTTACTACCATGCAGAACAAAAATACAACATTCCTAGAACCCCAGGAGTACCTCTTCTTTCTGTTTTCCAGCTACCTTATCCCCCCAAAGGTAAATATGGTGCTATGCTCTAATAGTAAAGAATAGGCTCATCAGGCTGGCGAGATAGCTCAGCAGACTAAAGTGCCTGTGTAGGCAAGCACAGGGACCACAGTTGGGTCCCTGGCACCACATGCTGTGCCAGCCCCACCCCCAGGGCTGGCTGAGCCGGCCAGAGTCCAGGTGTGGTGGCACTGGGGAGGCTGAAAGCAGGAGGACTGCCACAAGTTCGAGCTGTGTATTGAGAACCTGCAACAACCAAATATGTTTTTAAAAAAAAGAAAAAATAGGCTCATAACCTGCAAGTCACCCCTTATGAACTCCCAGTGTCTGCCTCTTTCATTCAACTTTTTTATTACAAGATTCATTTGTATTGTTTTATAGTATTTATTCCTCATAATTGTTCCATATGTAAATGTACTACAATTAATCTATATATTTTAGTTCATGGCTAGTCAAACTATGTCAACTTCAGCACTATTTTGTAAAAACTGCTGTTTTGAATGTAACTGGGTATGTCTTTGGTTGAGCACAGCTCTGTATCTTTTGTGGTCACCCCAGGAGCAGAATTGCTGAGTTGTAGGTTGGTAACGTTGTATTGGTTTGCTAGAAGTGCCATAAGAACCACAGATTAAACACCAGAAATTTCTTTTCTCTCAGATCTGGATGCTGTATGTCTGAGGCTGAGGTGTCTTGGGGACGTATTTCTTCTGAGGTGTATCTCTTGGACCTGTAGAAAGCTGTCTCTTCCTTTTGTCTTTATATAGTCTTTCCCATATATGTATGTGATCAAGGTTCCCCCTTTTATACGGATTCCAGCCATGCCTTAAAACCCACTCTGGTTACTTCATATCAACCAGTTTAATTGCCCTTTTAACCCTAACTCTAAATACATTCATAGTCTAAGGGCCTGGGGGTTAGGCCATTAACCTGAATTTTGGGAAAAGATGCAATTCAGCCCCTTTGATGTTTTCCACACATTGCTCCAAGTGACTGTACCAAGAGTGTTCTTCTCAGGAGTGCATGGGAGCTTAACTGCTCCACATACTTACCATCACTTGCTGTTGCCTGTGTTTTAAATAAATCTTCCATAAATACAACTTCATGTTGGTTGATATGGCCAAGAAGGCAGTATGCTCACCACACATCTCTTCAAACCTTGCCTTCCATCCTGCCTTTGGTACAGAGCATCTGCTGCATTTAAGTGTTCTGGAAACTTTCCTGTAGCTTTTTGTCCACTTGCTCTAAAATTTAGACTTTTTTAAAATGCCATTAGGCAGAAAAATAACCTGCCAGTGTCAGTCTATTCACTTTAGTTTAGAAGCTTCACTGGCCCTCCCCAGGCATTTCAAGGATAACTTGCACCAAAAAGATGGTGACAGCAATGACTAAGCAGTTGGATTTGCTTATTCTGCTACTGGGACTGCAGGTCAGAAGAAGAAGCATGGTGGTAACTCCTCTCTGCAGACATTGCTGGGTCCAGTGACCAAGTATGGTAAATGCTCGCATTTGGCCGACAGCGGTTGTCCCTTCCTCTACCCTTCCCTACAACTGGGAGTTCAGGTTTGCCTTCTTAACACCCTCTCACAAGGGAGGCTTCTGAAGGGCTTTCCTTAACCTTCAGAGGCTGATAAAAGCCCATCAACTTCACTGGAAGAGGACTATTTTAAAACCCCCAAAGATCCCCAAGGACCCATATCTGAGCAGCCAGTCTATACACTGTTACCACCGCCTTCTAGGGGCTTACTCATGATACAAGCCTGGCTCTTTTGTCTTAGAGAAACTCTCCACTCCCTAGATGTCTCAACTTCTTTTGTAGTCCCACCCTCTGGGGAAAATTCATACTGAGAATTTAGGAGTTCTAAGAGAAACCATTAATGGAAAGGATGGAAGTAACCTAAAATTCCAAGGAGGAGGTAGATTTACATCAACTGATATGTTACCTGGGTGGGAAAGTTTGCCTTTTTCCTGGGTGCCAGCACTTTCAAACTTATAGGACTTTACATTCTTTTGGGGTCTTGTTACTGCTTTTGTTGTTTTTTTAAAAAGGACTACAAAAACAGTTGCAAAATTAGCAGCATCACAAAAAAAAAAAAAAGCATGTGGCAGTGCTTCCTCCGTAAGAGGCTATCCCTGTAAGAAGGAGACATTGAGTCAGTCCTCTAAAACTTTGGGTCCAAAAATAGGAAAGCAATCTTTCTGAGATACTAGTGTGAAAAGCAGGGCATTGGGTTAAAATATACGTTAAATTAATTAAGATTTATCACTACATTTTGCATAAATGAGAAATAAAACAGGTTTTTAAAATTTATTTTAAAAGAAAACCATCAGATATTCATCTCAGAGAAATGAAAATGTATGTTCATGAAAAAAGAAAGAACTGCATACTGTCTAGAGCAGCTTTCTTTGTAACAGCTAAAGATTGGAAACAATCCACATGTCTTTCAGGAGATACAAGATTTAAGAAAATTTCAGTCTATCCAACCACTGCATGCTTCTTGGGAATGAAAAGGAACTGTTGATACATAACAGCACATTGACTAATTGCCAAGGGAATCATGGTGAACAGGAAGAAAAATCTAGTTTGAAAAAGTCAAATACTGGTGGGGTCTTTGCAGTGAGCATGCACTAGCATTTCTCAGGTGAAACATAGCTAAAAGTTTACAGAGTAAGTGGAAAAGAAAAATATGTGCTGAGAAGAGAGAAGAATGCCCCAAAGGAGCTCAACAGACTTAAAAGTAGTCTCAAAGTAGACTACTATGTTTTAATGAAGGATGCTCAAGAGATAGCAACTGTTGTGGTACCTGAACAGCACCAAGAGAAAGTGGAATGTGTGGGGAATAATGATGAAAGACTCAGATGATGTGAAAATGGAGACTGAGATAAAGAGAAATGAAAGACTCTTCTAGATCAGAATGGACAGTACCCAGGATGGGTTGACCAGAGACAGAGAAAAGGCTGAAGGCAAAAGAAAGAGAAGAACGGAGAATGGCAAACAAAGCAAGAGCAGCAAGGCGGCACAGGGTTTGGCCTGGTAGACCCTGTACCTGAAAAGGTTGCCACATGGGACAGGCATTGGATTAGAAAGTACATACTGATTTCAGCTCCCACTAAATGAAAACCATTTCTGTTTTTTTGTTGTTGATTTTTTTTTTTTTTTTTTTGAGACAGGCCTCATTGTGCAGGTAGGGACGGCCTTGTGCTCACTTTTGTAGCCCGCAAGCCAGTCTTGAACTCTCAGTGATCCTCCTGTCTCAACCTCCTGAGTCATTTCTGTTCATATTTTAATGTAGCCTTTTTCTTTACTTCAAACTCAAAATAATTAATTTGTTTTAGGAAATTAAATATTTCAATATTTTTTGAATAAAGTATTTTCATTGATAAAAGCTATGCTGATATTTTAAATGGAAATTGACCAATACTCAGGTCTTGTTAGACATCAAAATCCTGTGAAAAATTAACCTAGTAGAAATTATTGTTACAACTTGGAAATTATGGTCAACTAAATGATGAACTGATCAAAAATTTGAGTGAACTCATTTTTTAAAAGCTCATTTTGTATAGTCACATCATTGAAAAATGCAACAGTAGATCTCATTAAAAAAAGAAAAAAGAAAAGTTAAATACTGTCTTACTC